GCTTTATTTAGTCTAAATGATTTCCCTGGCTTCAATGTGTATTTTTTTGAGCTTCATTTTAGAAATATCATACTTAAATCTGCTCTGTGTTGGAGTTTGTTTTAGTTCTAACTCTGAGGAACAAGGATTCTGAGTAAAAGAAATAAAGATGATGGATTTTTCTAGGCTTCACATTTCAAGAATGGCTTTCTCAAATGGCAACTGGAAGTCTAATTTATTCCTCAGATGATGACGTTTTCCATGGGAATCAGAATTTAATTGGGATAATTTGTTTTCACGGAAAGCCCAGATTTTCTTTCCAAGAGGATCGGTTTGATAATGTTTTACCAGCTAGTGCACAGAGACCAAATATAAAACAGTTCTGAGAAACAGGAAGTGAACCTGACTGGTCTAGTCTGCGTGTCCCTGGCAGTGACGCAAATACAGAAATCAAATTAGGAAAACAAGATATGTGGGTGTGAGGCAATCGATAACAATCCAGGATGCTACAAAGCAAGGAAGAACGCCTTGAACCAAATGCCACTCATTTTAATAACACCCTGAGAACTTTGATTTCCACTGAACATGCTAGTGGTTAGGGAGCGGGATGAGCTTGAGTTCCCTAGCAACAGCATGTGCTTTTGAGACCGTCATTAGCCTTTCAGTTAATCCCGCCAACCCCTTACTTCTAAATGTATGACTGACATTAAAAAGGAAAAAAAAAGAAAAGAAAAAGAAAAGGAATGATATTTCAGAAAGTGCTTTGAAATTTCCAGGACCAAATGGGAAGGAATTAAAAAAAAAAAAAAAAAGTTGTCCTGAGAATTGTTCTCAGGTAAAAGAACTCATACGTGTCCACCCCGTCCCCACATTCACTGCTCTCGGTTCTCTGTTTCTGAATCCCCTGTGGGTAAAGGGCAATGGAAGGGAAGTGGCTGAGAGTTTAAGGCAGTCCCCTCCTGGAACATCCATCACAGTCGGAAAGCGGGGTGAATAGTGGGGTGGGCAGTTTGTGTGGGGCGGAGGCTGGAGGGGGGTTAGAGTGGGAGGTACCGTAACACCCAGGTTTCTTTCCCCTTTATGCAGAATAAATTATCCTGGTGGAAGGAGCCTGAGGAAGGAGGGTGGTGAGGGGGAATGAAGCTATTTTTCCTATTGATTGTTTAATTGCACCAGAGGCTGTTCGTCCGAGGCCGCTGGCCAAAAGCATTATTTTGGTGGCTAAAGTGAGGTTGGGCAGGTTTCCATCCCCTTCCTTAGTTTTAAACAAGACGACCCACAAAGCGCAGCCGGGCTATAGGAATATGGTGTATGCTGACTTTTGCTACTCAGCTGTACCCTAAAGCGCCAAGCCTGATGGGACGATGGTTCTCAAACCCTGAATCATTGCTCTAGCTCTGTTCTGGGTTCGGGATGCACAGCTCTTCTTTGTAGCCTCGGTCAGCTTCGGGGTGTTATTAGAATCGTAATTATTGCTGCGTTTGGCTGGCCATTCCTATTATGGCCTGGGTCCCTTTCGACTAGACACTGGCTCCTTCAGTTTGGCCGGGTGACTCCTAGTTCTCCCCGCCTCCCCACCTACCCCCCGCCCAGCCCCCTGCGCGCTCCCTTCCCAAGGCGACCACCTGCGCCACCCCACTTACCATCTGCCCCGCGGGGAGGGCCCCTCGGGGTAGCGGTGCCCTCCCTGCTCCCGGGCGGCTCTGGGGGAGCTCGGTGTTTGCCTCCAGCCCTTCGCTACCGGAGAGATCAGGTTCCTCCCCTCCTCCCCCTCCAGCTCCGGCCGCCGCCGCCGCCGCCGCCGCCTCCTTCTTGCATGACACAGCAGAACCGCAGCTGCTGCGGCGAGTCCCAACCATCCGCCCAGGAAGCGCCGCAACACGGACTCGGGAGGGGCGAAGGGGGGCGAGGCAGGGGCCACCGCCGAGGGGGATTCTTGCCCCCACTCTTCACCGCACACTTGTTTCCCAGCCCAGGGGCATAGGAGCAAAATCGGGCTAAAGTCGACCAGGCCGAGCCGTTGAGGAATGCTGGGGTTTGGCGTCAGAAGGGATGGGACCCGAGAAAAGGGTGCGAAGGAGACCCCAGTAGGGGCAGGACACTGCAGGTAAAGAAGGGAAAGAAGAGGCCGAGAAGTCAAGGGCCAGGCTGTGAAGGAGAATAAAGGAGGTCAAAGAGAGGTAAGGAGGGAGAGTTGCTGAGAAGGGAGACGGAGCTGGGAAAGGGGGGTGGGGGGAGCTGCAGGGCAGGGAGGACTGGGAGGGAGGATTGGGGGAGGCCTGAGCTAAGTACCCAGGCAGTAGGGGGGCTGAATTGGGAGGCAAGGGCACAGAAAGGGAAAGGGATGGAAGAATGAGGCACTGGATAGGAACGTAAAAATCGGGGACATTATTAGAAGAGATGTAGTGGAGATCATTCATCATGGCTGATGAGGTAAACTGATGAGGTGGGAAAAGATATAGTTGAGGAAGAGCCAAACGAAAGGGTGATCTTCCATCCCACCCTTTAGTTTACTGAGAAGTTTTTCATAATTCCGCCAGTACACAAAGGGAGTTTTCCTTAAAATGGAAACGCATGAACTAAAGCATGGAAATAGCTGCTTCGCGTAGCTTTACAGCATAAAATCTCCATGGTCCACAAAAACTTTGAGGCAGAGATTTGGGGTTTAAGGCATAAGCACTTACAGGGGTTGTGATTCAGTAATGCCGAGGGCACTCAAAACTGGTGTTACAGTTTCCACACAACACTGAACTTGAATAAGTCAGAGTGTTTGCTTAATGTTTCAGTTAAATGCACTGGAAATGATGACAAAGTTATTGGCTGAAACTATCCTAAAAATGCACCTGCTTCTTTTTCTTTCTCTCTATACTCACACATAGATACATATATATAATTTCTAGTGTCTAGCATGTTCAGTATGATTAGGGGAAACATATGTTTTTGTGATTATTTTATTTCCCACCAAAACACAAGCTACGCATTTTACAGCAAACCAGCTGCTTCTCACCATTTGAAAGAATGTGGTCAGAAAAGTAATGCAAAAACTGCCACTTTGGTTTTGTCTGTACCTTCCAGGTCATATCTTCGTACCTCACTTCCTGACACAAACAAGTTTTTACTGTTGTCAGCAACAAAGCCCTAATATAGCTGCGGAAGAGAAAAACTGCATTGCATTTAGCCTCCTGCAAGCATCATCAACAGTTACTGGAGGAATGTAATTCCAGAAAGCTTTAAAGCTGGTGGTGATGGTAATTATGTATCAAATGCCTGATTCTATTTCTGTTATTATTGTTTTGTCATTTCTGTTCTACCCAAGAGCCGGCTGAACTCGCAGGGAGAAATCCGGTTTTTCTTTTAGACTTTGTAAAAATTAATCAGCCCCGGTAGAAAACTCATTGCTCTCGGGGAGAATAAAGTAGGAGCCACGAAATGTCATTTTAGCAGAGCGTGGGTTTTGCGACTGTAGGAAAGGATTTAAGGACGCGCCTTCTGTTCGGTTTCCTATGTAACGAGCAAAGGCTACACGCACGCACAGACGCCACAGCTCCCGGATGCTGTGGCTCCCTTATCTGGGCTTCTGCAGCTCCAGAAGCCCCTTCGGGATGCTGCGAGGGGCTCCCGGTGGGTGGTGGTAGGAACGCTGCGGCCGCCGCCGCCACTCCTGCCGCTGCTGCTGTTGTTGCTGCTGCAGTCACGTGGGAGCCCCTTTAAGTTTCCATAGAGAGGCCTCTCCGGTGTCACATGATGGACATGATATAATGAAACAACATTGTGGAGAGGAAAGCATTAGGGGAGCCCACGGCTACAAAAACAAGTGAGTGAGAAGAGGTGGGAGGAAGAGAAACTACGCCACCTCCCCTGCAGCCGAGCCGCACGCAGCAGCCTGCGAGAAGTGGGCGACGCCGGGGGGCAGGGAGACGGGGTCCTCGGCCCCGGCCCGGGGACCTTGCCGCCTACCGCGGACAGCACAACTTTTAGCCGGCAGCCTCGGCCACCACCGCACCTGTCTCCGGAGCCTCCATCGCTCCTCGTGACGATCCAAGGGAAATTCTAGAAGAATACGCTCTACAAATATACATGCGCATCATTTTCCTCCTTGCGTCTCGCTCTAGAAGGAAAGAGAAAGGGATTCGAGCGCAGCGTGCGTTCCGCCCCAAGGTAAGTTCTGGAGGGTGGGGAGAGCCGGCCCAGCAGGACTTCGGTGGGAATTTTGCTCTCCGCTGAGCCCTCTCGAGGTGAACGAGGCGTCCCCTCGCTGCCGGCGACGCGGATGGGTCGGATGGTCCAGCAGGAACATTTCCACTGTGGACTCTGTTATTTCCTCTTTCGCACGCCCGGCGGTCCCACCCTCGGACTCCCCGGGGCGCCTGGCCTCCCCCCGGAAGGGCCCGCAGGTCACGGCCGGGATGTTGGGAAGCCGGGCGAGGGAAGGTAGGGGTTGTGGCGTTGGCCGGGAATGCCCAGGCGATTTCGCCATGTTTGTGTTGCTAAGAGCACTTTTTTCCCCTTTGAGGTGGCTTGATGCCACATGGCTCCTCCAGAGCTGCTGCCGGGTTGAGAGAGAGAGAGCGTGCGTGTGTGTGTGTGTGTGTGTGTGTGTGTGTTTTCAATGTCCGCATTCCAGCTAATGTTGCGCAGATAAAATTCAAACTTGAGGTAAACAGAAGAGGAGGAGGAGGAGGAGGAGGAGAGGGGGGAGGGAGGGAGGGGGAGACTGTTTCCATTTCGAGATCCCACCTCTTCACTCCGCGGAGACCAACATCCCGAACGCAGAGAGCACTCGCCGGGTACTCCCACCTACCCCACCTTTGCTGTCCACCAGAAATCAGGCGGCGGGGGGGCGGGGGGAGGGTGCTCGCGGAGGACACGGCGTCTGGGTTCTGAAAGGGAAAAACACCCTTGGCACTCAGGCCTTTGGCTACCTCCTTTTCGCCGGGAGGGACGGAGGATGCCTCGGATTGCTCTGGGGCCGGGGAACAGGAGGACAGCGCTCCCGGGGAACAGGGGCGGGGGGTGGGGGGTGCCTGCCCCTCTCACTCCTTCTTACTTTAGGGGACTAGACTGTCTCGCTCCCACCCCACCCCAGGCGCAGGTTCCTGCAGGCGGGCTGGGTGGGTCTCCAGGTTTCCAGAGGGCCGGTTGCGTAGCAGGTGTGTGGTGGGCATTTCTATTTTGTAAGTCTTGCATTGGTGGGACGACGTGGATGGGCAGAGCTGCGTCTTAATTTTTTTTTTTTTCAAATTAGGGAGAAAATTCAAGACGTTACATCCCACTCCTCCCGTTTTAAATACTGATTCAGCTCGAAGCTAGGCTGAAGGGTGAGTGGGGATGTTTAAGGGTGAGGGTGAGCTTCGTCATGTGGAAAACGAGGCATCTGACAGCTTGTGGCCACCACCCCCGGCCCCGGGCGGAATGCGGGCTGGGTGGTCCGACAGGGGTGGCGTCCCACGAGGTGGGAGCCGGCACCGGGTCCCGGAGTGCGCGAGGGTCCAAAGCCCTAGTCGCCGGGGACTGCCTGGCCGGGAGGCGGCGGCCACGTGAGGGTGGTCTGGGTGGTCTGTGGAAGCGCTGGAGCCCAGAGATGGGTGTGAAGTGCGTAGCACAGTCGTGCCGGGGGCGGACACGAAACACCCGTGGGCGGGGGACGCGCGGAGGAGCGGAGACTCGCGCGGGCCCGACCCCGCAGCCGTGGCGACGGTTTTATTCCGAGCGGCGGCCGGAGCCGGGCGCCTTCCCCGCTGGGCCTGCGTCCCGGGCGCGGGTGGGTGCGCACTTCACAGCCCTCTCCTGGGAGACCGTTTCCGGGCGGGGTCCCTGGCCCCGAGCGAGGGCTGTAAACAGGGTGGCGCCCTCTGCCCCCCCGCCCCCGGCCTGCCGGGGCGCGCGGCCGGCGGCGCCCGGAGCGGCGGAGGCGCGGCCGCGGCGCTGGGCAGTGGCGGCGGGGGCGCGCCCGCTCCCCGCCGCCCCCGCGCGCCCCCGCCGCCCGGCCGGCCGGCCTCTTCTGTTTTTGTTTTGATGGAGCCCGCGTGCGGCTGGCGCGTGTCGAGTCACGTGCCGTGGGCGGGAGGGGGCTGGGGCGCGGGAGGCGAGGGCGCGGTGACGCACGCGTCCGGAGGGCCTGGCGCCCGCGGGGGCTGCGGGGCGAGGGGGCGTGTGCCTCGGGCAGATCCCGGTCGTGCGGGGTGCCGGGGCTGCATCTGGTGGGGTTCGTGGGAGTTGATGCTGGTGAGCGCTGTTCGGACGTGGGTGTGAATCCCACAGCGCTTCGAGCTCGTCGTCACAGCATCTAGGCGAGCCTCCTCCAAGCCGGCGGGGGGGCCGGCCTGCGCTGATTCGGTCAGAGATCGAGCTCGACCTTACCGGAGTTTTCTGTGGGCACGTAAAGATCTGTAGGTGGTTCTTAATCCTGCCTAAAAATTACAAACAACTTGAGAGCCGTAGAAAGAACTGCGTTGCCTGGCCCTGCCCCAAGGCCAGTTGAACCCAAATCCAAATAGGGCCTGGACGTTGAGTATTTAGGGGAAAAAAAACCCCAAAAAACCTCCCTCGGTATTTTTGACGCACAGTGAGGGGTGAGAACTTACCGAGGTAGTGAGCTTGTTGGGAGTGAAACCATCCCTTCTTAGGGATGAAATAGTAAAAATAGCAGACGTAGTTAGCACGACTTGGTCTGTCACTAGAAGGGTCACTGTGTGTCGGCATGATGGCTGCGCAGATTGTGATACTTGATGAAATATTGGCATTCCCCATCTTACAGTTGGAAACTGGAAATTCAGGAGGAAAAGTAAAAGTTGGCCAGTGACGACCCGTGACCAGTACGCAGGGAGGCTGCCTCTGGACCTCAGGCTTCGGACCGTGGCTTATGCTGCTGGAATTAGGCCTTTACCTAAGGGCCCCATCTTTGTGTGACTAGGAATCCTTCTCTGTTTGCCTACCAGCCTGCGAATTTAACTGCATGTATTTACGAATGTACTTTTATTTGCAAAGTGTTGCTTCTGTTGAAGGGAGGAGAATCTTGTGGTGAATTGCTAAGGCCCATAGGCTATGAACATTTACATGAAGTTTGTTGTGAGGAGAGGGGGATCCTGGTACTGTGGAGAGAACAGATTCTGTGGAAGTGTTTTTGTTTTGAGATGTCAGTGAAGTGCCTAGAAGATGCAGGTATCTTCCAGAGATTTACATGAGCAGACACAGAAGTCCTTCAGGTTCCTACTAATGATTGTTGTCTGGTATCCTTAGCTGTGTAGCAGACGGAAGCACATTACCAAGTTTTAGGGATTGGTTTTCATGTTGCTTGCAGTTAGGGTGAGGAAAGTTTATGGACCCACACAGGCGAGACCATCCCCGTAGACATGAGTGCGTGGGTCTAGCATGGAAATCATCTCCCTCCTGTCATCCTGTCTTTCTTCACCGTCGGAGCCACTTTGGTCCAGCATTGCCTAATCAGTTGTGGTTCCTCTGCCCCTCTCTGCATAGGGGGTTCCTCTGCCTTTAGAGTTCCTTCTTTCTTTAGGAAATCTCCTCTGGTTTCCCCTCAGAAAACACTTAAATATCCTCCTTGTGTCAGCGCTGTGTTTTGTACATACTTGCATCACTGCGTTTATTACAACATGTCATACCGGTTTTGTTTACACGTGGGGTGAACCCTCCTGCTAAATTCAGCTTGTCTCAGGTGGGAGTGGTGATTGTTGACCTGTTATCACTGGGACCCGGTAGGCACGTAGGTTTGCTGTATCCCTCTGAATTGAAGTCGTGTTGGGAACAGACCAGGTATTGGTCTGCGTCACCCACCTGGCAAGGGGCTGCTGTATGGGACAGCACCATTACTGAGAATTTGCTTATGGTTAGTCTAGTACCCGATGGGTAAATGTTTAGGTTAAGGTTGTTGTGCCTTTAAAAGGAAAACCTTGATTCCTTTTTTTGGGCCCGAAACTGTGCTTCGCCTTTATAGATTCTAAGGTGTTTACCGGGTAGTATTTTGGACCCATGTGAGGCCTTCGTACTATAGAGCATTTGTTTGTGTGTTCCGTGAACTTCTCATGTAATTCATGAGGACTCCTTTTTTTTTTTTTTAAGAAGCAGAATGGATTGATTATGAATACTTATAATTAGGAGTAGTTACAAGGCTGGTGGATTCAAGCTCTTGGCCTGTAAACTAAATGAAAGTGCCTTAAGCCTAATCACTTTCTCTAAGATGTATTGTGAATAGCAGGTTCTGCATTTGTCTTACTGGCCATTGTATCCCCCGTGCCCTGTACAGTGCCTGACACATAGCAGGTGCTTATAATTATTTGTTGAATGAACTAATGTTCAAGTAACTTAACCCCTCTAATTTAGCTTCAGAAGTTACGTTGTAGAGCTGGAGAGGGGGCTGAGTAGCAGTAACTAACCTGAATTTACTGTTCCTCCAAGGAATGCAGTCTCTTCAGGGGCACAATTGTTAGCTCAGTGACTCTGATTTCTTCCCTGTAAGATAAGTGGCAGGACTTCTTACCCTTTCTTAATAACAGAAGAATAAGTCACAAGATTGGGGGCTCAAGTCACTAAGAGGGAGTTGAAAGTGTAAATCACATTGAAGGAGTTCCTTACATTGCCTGTGCGCTTGTCCAGGATTCTTCTTCAAAGAACTAAAATCGGGCACCGAGCTGTGTTAGAAAATTTGGTTTGTAAAATGGAAGGGGATTATGTATGTTAATAGAGTCTGAAGAGAATTCTGAAAATATATCCAATGTGGCATGACGTGGAGAAAAGCGCTTCAACAGGAAAAACAGGAATGGAAACATTTATTTCTTAAATCTCTAAATCTCAGTCCGTGGTAATCCTAACACTGAAGTTACGAATTTCTGAAAGGGGTACTTAAAAATGTAAATAGAAACATGTTGAGTGATACAGATAACCACTACTACACTTTGAAATGCTTAGGCAGAAAGGTACCATACACATCAAACATCTGTTCCAAAGGCGAGCCCTAAGGCCAGAAGTTGTAGATTTCATTTCATGTGGTAGGTGCTGTATTGGTGGGTTGATGTGGAGCCCGATATGTGGTCGAGTGCTTGTATAAGATGGCGCAGTGGCTCTGTGCTCTGCGTCAGACTCACCTGCCCTGTGGTGTGATGCATGGCTGGATTACAGGCCTGTCCTCGTGCCTGGGACGCAGGCTGGCTTCCTGTCATTCTGCTAGTATGTGTTGCACAGATGAAAACTAATTTTATGCTAGCATAAGGAAAACATAATTGAAAATGTAAATTTTTTTTTTTTTTTTAAGATTTTACTTATTTATTTGACAGAGAGAGAGAGATCACAAGTAGGAAGAGCAGCAGGCTGGGGGTAGGGGTGGGGGAAGCAGGCTCCCCGCTGAGCAGAGAGCTCGATCCCAGGACCCTGAGATCATGACCTGAGCTGAAGGCAGAGGCTTAACCCACTGAGCCACCTAGGTGCCCCAATCTTTTTTTTTTAAACCATACGATACATTCCAAGATAAAAAATAGGACATTTCTTTTGGAGGAGGTAGGATGAGGAGGGTAAGTTTCTTTTTTAGCACTTTCTGGCCTCTTAATCCTTCATGGTTGCTCTTTACAGACTTTTGGTGTAAACGTCATTGATGGTAGTGGGGGTGGGAAGAAGCCCCCAAACTATCAACCACATATCCCATAAATTCCTGCTGTTGACCCTCAGAACCGAACCAAAATACGACCATAACAAGACAAAACCCACCTCTGCTGTCGGCAACAGAAGTTAACTCAGCCTACCAATTAAATAAAAAAGTCTGTGAGATTTGAGTTGTGCAGACATCAGTAATATGAAGGTTTTTTTTAAAGGTATTAAATATAAATTATTCAAGACAGAAGAATTTATATGTGTCTGTATAGCAGTAATATAAGAATTCATATTGCAGAAGATCGTATGGGACCACTTGGATTCAGATGTACAGTTAATGAATTATTTTAGGTATATTGAGAACTGTCTCAATAAACTGGCTTTGTTTCTTTATCCTCATTGGAGTGGGTGGTTGGATCAGTCGTTCCCAAACTTGGGCACTCACAGTAGGATCACCGAGGGCAGGCTAGACTCAGATTGCCGGACCCTCAGCCCAGAGTTTCTGACTCAGTGCGTCTAGCGTGGGCCTGATGATCTGCATTTTTTGCAGGTTTCCAGGAGATGCTGAGGCTCGTCAGAGGGCCGTATTTTGAGAACCACTGGATCAGATCATTTCTTCTGAAGTTTTATAAAGTGTTTGTGCCCGTTTTTCCCCTTTTGCATTTTCCCCCATTTCATTTCTACAACATCGCATCATTTAAAGATTGCTGTGTGGCAAACTGAGTTGTAAAAGTTTAAAATGGATTGAATTAATTTTTATTTTGAGTGTTTCCTGAGAATTCCAGATACTTTACAAAACCTTTGGGTCTGTTGTTAAAACCCAAGATTGGGTATACTTACCCAAGAGTCAAGGTCTCCAGTTACAGTATATTGAAATATTCCTCATAATATTAAAGAACTATTCACTGTTTCTTAAACCCGAATATTCTAGCAGATCTAACCAAGTGCCTTTTAATAGACAGCTTTAATAGGGTATGATATATAGCATATTACATAGTCGGGAGCTCGTTAAATAAAATGGTGTTTATGAGACATAATTCCTTTCCTGTAACTCTGGGTTTGAGTTTGTAGTACACCGATAGTGTGAACCTGGACGCCCTCTGAAGGGAACCGCTTTGCAGAAGAGGCACAGTTGCCGGAGGGAGATGCCCATGAGGGGGAGGAAGAGTGAATTGTCACGGTTCGGCCATTCTGGGTTTTGAGAACTTTGGGAAAGAGGGGAAGTTTGTAAATGAAGGGCCTTTTGGGCCGGAATCTGGCAGGAAGGCTGTGGAGATAGCAGGAGATGTCCTAAAGCAGCTTTTGCAGGGCAAGCACACTGTTCTTACCCAGAGTGTATGTCTGTTTTGGTGGTGGTGGAGAGTAGGGGAGGGGGATTATGGCGAGGGGTTTGTGGAGACTCTAAGGCAGTCTAACAGG